ATTTGAAATTAATTTTAAACGGAGTAGGTAGCGGAATGAGACTATGTTTCACGCACCATCCCATTTTTCAATTAGACAGATAGTTTCCGCCTCGTTCGAGATTGAGTCCCACGAGTATCGAGTTCAACAATTGTTTTCCATCCCTACATAAAATCTCTCTATTTATTGCGGGTGCAATTTCAATGTCAACACAACAGATTAAAAATCCTGTCTCTCTTCCTTTTCCAGTGTTGTGCAAACCTCGATATCTCACACCCCAATCCATTCATTTCTATCCTTTTCATACATCTTGCTGCAGTGTTTATATTTGAACCTTAAAATAAGTTTTATGAAAGTAATTTTTTTCAAGAGGTTGTGCGGATAAATGGTAGGAAATTTTTTTGAATTTACATGTAAAATTATATTATTGAATGAATATAAAATTAAAAATAAATTTTTTTTAAAAAAAAGAATTTTTATAAAAATGTGGCTCGCACGTGCTCTTAGTAGAAAATATTTTGGATTGCAGAATATCAAAACACACGAAAATGTTCTCCTGCCCGCGGCGGGCAAGCTTATCCTGCCCACCTGCTGATGTGGCAGGAGAACCCTACGTGGAGTTCTCTCCAAATGTGAGAACCCCATGTTGGGTTCTCTCCGAGTGGACATTATAAGCTTGCCCGTCGTGGGCAGGAGAACGGGACTGTCAAAACACAAGATGGGTAATTTTCAACGTAGTCAATCAGAATTCGTCCCTTTTATCTTGTCGACGAAACAGTAAAACTTTTGATTTTGTTGGGGGACATAATTAACTTTGGTGGGCTTTGCTTCATGTGATTAATCATGCTTTTGTACTTGGCTGTCTATCTCTCCCTCATCTCTATAAGATAATTACCTACTTTACTTTTTTTTTTTTTTCTACGTATTCATTTTTAACATCGTATTCACATAATAAAATATTATACACGTAAACTCAAAAAAAAATCTTCATTTTTAATCACACATTCTACAAAAAAATCACTATTCAAAATTTGGGGACTTAGTATTCAATCCCTATTCAACAACTAATAAAATGAGTGTTTTTTTTTAGAAAAATGAGTTTTGAAATAATAATTTTTTTAAAAATCTATGATGGTCAAATTGGGGCTCATTATCATCTTCTTTTTCTTTCTTCTCATTATATGTTGCAGCGTGTTTGAAAAGTCTATGATTGTAGAGTATTTTATTGTGAGAATGTGTGATTGAAAATGAATTTAAAAAAAAAAAAGAATTTTATTTTAATGATTGTCAAACATGGACTCATTATCATCCTCTATTTCTTTCTTCTCGTTATATGCTGTAGCCTGTTTGAGCCCCATTTTTAGAGAAACAAAATTTATAATAGTGATTTCTTGAAGAATGCGGAGTTAAAAAATATGAAACTTCTTTAATTTATATGTAAATTTATTTTATTAAGAAAATATGTGGTTAAAATGAGTTTGACAAAAAACGAATTTTCTTAGAATAAGGCTCAAAAATGGACCAAAAATGGAAATATTCTTTCACCTTATTATTAGGCATTATTTCATTTATTTGGCACACATTTTTTTAAAGTTATTTCATACATATATTTTACGAAATTCACAACTTTCTCCCCACTATAATATTTCCAANNNNTTTCTCCCCACTATAATATTTCCAAGAAAATATCATTTCTTATTTGAAGAATTGATGCCAAACAAGTACTTTGTCAGATTTCTAATTGATGTTAGTCATCTGTCTGTAAATATCTTAAGAGAACTTGTGCAAGCTTTAACAGCTGTCACACCTCTCTCCAAATGAGCATGTTTCCATGACACACCAACCCACCCACCAATATCTACAATTTTTTAGTCCACGCTTTCTTTAATTTCTCTTTTAATAAAATAGCTAAATAAAACGTGAATAAAAGATGTTCGACTAATTCTAAAACTCGTGAATTAAGTCGAGATAAATTTAATTTCTCACATTTCACCTCTCTCAAAATCGACATTCATAACTATTCGTATTAGATATAATCATTCTTTTACAATAAAGTAACATTATTTAAGTGTTTATTACGATATTAATCATATTGAATATACCTCACTTTTAAAATTGGTAAATTTAGCAACATTGTATTAGACTTCGTTGTCACCCACATAACCCATCCTCAAATTTCACATTTTTAAGTCTTCTTTGTTATTGAGCTTTCTTGAATTTTTCTTTAAAATTCACCTTAAAATAATTGGTTTTAGAAGAGAACAAGTTCGATTATTTAGAAACTTAAAAATTAAGTCTTACTTTAACATGATTCAATTGAAATTTTGATATTTCACTAGTACGAAATTTGACCATTCCATTAGTAGAATAACCCTTTCAAACAAATACATCATTTTAGCAAAATATAATTTTGCCCGACTCATATGTGGACTTTATTCCCCTTTTTCCCAACAAATCACCACTTACAAGATTTCTATTCATATTCGGTGCTTGCAGTACATTTATTAATGTGATCTTCTTGTTGGATTTAAATTGTAAGTCAATACTTCTTTTGTCAACAACATTTGATTGAACTTCATTCCCCGTTTGAATGTGTTCATCATTCACTTCTTGATAGATGTTGAAAATGGATCTATCATAGCACACATGTATGGTGGCACAAATATCATACCACCATTCTTAAACATTTCCTTTGATCGAATTTACAATACTCACGGTAGCAACAATGTTGTCAATGGAGTTCACTTTGCCTTCTTGCATTGGTTGTTTATGAAGACTTGTTTATGATGTCTACAATTTCGAGTATAATGTCCGAGTTTACCACACATACAACAAAAAATTTTGAATTTCTTCTTGTTCTTGTTATCTTTGTTGGTTTTGTGGATTTTCTCTCTCTCTCTCTCTTTTTTTTTTTGAATCCTTGTTGTATTTATTTAGTTGATCAACATCGTTCATTCCAATCTCGTGCTCTTAAATCTTCCTCAATTCGAAAATATTATTGAATTTCTTCAAAAGAATAGTCCTGGGAGTTCCGAATGATTTTCTTCTTATAATTTTTCCTGAAGATGTCAATTTCACAATAATTACACTTACTTGAAAAGTTTCGATAAGATCTATTTAATGTCTTTAATTTTATTGACAATGATTTGCAACTCATGGACTTGTCCTAACAAAGGCAAGTTATCAAAAAACGTAAAATCAAAATACTTAGAAATAAGAAAACTTTTGGTACCTACATCCTCAGTCTTGTACTTGATTTCCAATGATTCTCATATCTCATTTGTCGAGGTATTATTTATGCAGAGATCATAGAGGCGATTGGAGAGAACGTTCAAAATGTGTCCTCTATATATCAATTCATCTTCTTCTCTTTTCTTCCTTTCCGCCCTTGTTTCATCGGTGTCATTAAGGGTTGGTTCCGACAATGGCGCCCAGTTTGGATCCAAAATATAAAACATTTTTAAGGTTATAAGAAGAAACTTCAACTTGTCCTTCCATCTTATGAAGTTTGACCCATCGATTCTATGAAGCCTTACAAGGACTTGATTCATCATCTTTATCGTAGACATGGTTGTCTCGTTCTCCATGTTGAATATCGTTCTTCATCAACTTTGTTGAACGAAAATAAAATCAGTAACAAGAAATCTACAAATGGAAAGTTTAAATACGATTATGAATCACAGTACTCAAACGATATTTGTCATCACCGAGGTAAGTGCTTAAAGGTTTCAATAGCAAATAGTTTGTAGGAGTAAACAAACCTTAATCTATGTATGAATCAAGCAATCAAAACTTGGAAAAGGAACTTTGAAGAAAAATATAAAAAACTGGATTTAATCTTTGATTTTCGATGTTGATGAATGAATTTGATATTTGTAATATATTTTCAGTCATGAAAATCACTCACATACGAAAAGATGTAAAAATCAAGTCAATAGGGTGTGAAACCCTTCAAAACGATACTAGAATTCAAAACTCCAATGTGCAAATTTTTTTGTACTAGGAAACTAGGTGATCGCCCAATTCAACAGAATGACCCTTGTAATTGCAACATGCGGCCGCCTAGGCCATTTTTCGACCATTACTTTTTTTTTGTTCTCATTTTGTTTTCACTTATTTTCTCTTGATTAACTATTTTCATCACTTCCAAAATCACGCCTCCTTGTTAATTTGAACAATATCCAACATTATAATGCTCCTTGAACTGGGTTATTGACAAGGTGGGCGACGGTGCTGCGTGGCAACACTTGTTTGGATATTTTTTTTTCAAATTGTCCAATTATGTGTCAACACATGTCCCTCCTACTTTTTAACATGTCATTGAACTAGTTTACGTAACATAACTCATTTTATAACACCACATGTAACACATCACTAACCGACAATATTTTTCCTGCCCACTACAACAGGAATCTACAAATTAACTTAATGGCCTTGTATAGGGACTTAGTCACCACGCCGCTCCCACCCACCCCCAAATTTCTACATTTGTTCGAGTCTTTGTTTTATTACGCTTTCTTGAATTCTCCATCGATTTCCCTCAAATGTACTATTCTATTGTCTAAAAAGTAGGGTCTTCTGCATAATTTCTCGTTTACCAGTTGCAGAAAAGTGGTTATTCTTATTCAATCAACGATTGATAATTGCGCCATGCAATAGTGAAACTCGCATTCCGTTGCTGCATTTTTTTTTTCTGGTTTCTCATTGAAAGCTACTGCAATTTGCAAGAATTTTGTTTGAGCTTTCGTAGAATTTAAGGTTGGACCCTGAAACCCGATTACAGAATTCTTAACTCGGATTAGGAACATAGGATCTTCGATTGATTTCAACTAGAAAAGTTGAGTTTTTTGTACTTGAGAAATTCCAAGAAAATGCCTCCAACATATTTCCCTCTGAGATGGGAAAGTACCGGCGACCAATGGTGGTTTGCTTCCCCTATTGATTGGGCCGCCGCCAATGGGCACTACGATTTAGTCCGGGAACTTCTCCGCCTCGACGGCAACCACCTCATTCAGCTGACTTCTCTGCGGCGGATCCGCCGCCTCGAGACTGTATGGGATGACGAAGAACAATTCGACGATGTCGCCAAATGCCGCTCGCAGGTTACGTTAACCATTCTTCTGTCTAGAAGTTTAAGATGCACATTTTTCATTACTAGGTGGCGCGAGACTTGAATCTGAGCCTTTTGCCGGGCCATGGTACCTTGGTAATTAATTTAAATTTTATATTCAACAGGTTGCAAAAAAACTGCTTTCTGAGTGTGAAAGCAAGAAAGGGAAAAACTCTCTAATTGGTGCCGGATATGGCGGGTGGCTTCTGTACACAGCCGCCTCCGCCGGAGACTCGGGTTTTGTTCAAGAATTGCTTGAAAGAGACCCTCTTCTGGTATTTGGAGAGGCAGAATATGGGGTCACTGATATATTATATGCTGCTGCGAGGAGCAAGAATTTGGAACTTTTTAGGATTGTTTTCGATTTTGCTTCCTCGCCGAGGTTTTCGACCGGTAATGTTAAACATCCCATGTAATAGCCTTAGCACCTAGTTCCTAACCTGTATGCCTCACCTGTACGCTGGATATTTTCAGTTTTCCATCAAAATATGACATGCACAATTTTAAATGGGTACAGCCAGACTTCAACCAAGGATTTTGCCTACATGTATTTATTAAGATTTGGGGATTTTATCCCCGTCTTCTCAAAGATGGTGTCTCGTTTGAGCGGATCAATTTTAAAATTCTTGTGCTCGTTTTTTAGTTTTAATCAAATCAAATTGTTCGTTGAAGTTTAATGGGACTCGATACCGTATTAAGACTCGACGTTCCATCTTAAAATGCCAACTTTATTAAGAAAAATCCAAATCCTTGTAAATTGGTCTCTGTGTTCATCTTTATTCTACGTGGAATTTTATTTCTTAATATTATTCACTTAAATTTTTTGTTCCTCAGGCAATGGTAGAGAAATTGAGCAGCAAAATGAGGAGATTCCTTCTGGTTATAAGTGGGAGATGATGAATAGAGCCCTTCATGCTGCTGCAAGAGGAGGAAATCTGAAATTATTGAAGGAGCTTCTTGGGGAATGCTCTGATGATTTATTGGCTTATAGAGATATTCAGGGAGCCACACTGTTACATGCAGCCGCTGCTAGGGGTCAGGTTGAGGTAAGAACCTGATCATCATCTACATATGCACGAGAGTCTTAATTTCTTCGAAAACTTTTTTATTTCTTTGACATAAGCTATTTACTTGACAAATATTGGGGATTATTTGTGTTAACTTCCTCTGTTGGACTTCCTATCCCATCAATTAGGATAGATCTTTGCAGTAAGGTTCATGGGTTTGTGGGGGCGATTAGCGATATTAGGGAGGATGATTATTTTTTTTTTTTACTTGTGATATTGTAGATTCTTCCTAATATTCCTTTATAAATTATTTTAGGGGCGTCAGTTTTGGGCATGACACTACCTTGTAATCTTTGGAAACCTGTATTGCAAAGTTGATGTTGATCTCACTTCTCATATTGAGGGTGAACCATGTAAATCTCTTCCGTGTGAGTGTTTTGCTCATCATCATCATCATCCATCATCATCATCATCATCATTATTATTTATATTTTTTTTTCGGCCTTATCCATAACATCATCTTCTTTATTGCTTTTGGGGTCCTTGGCCAAACAAGTATTTAATAGAGAGGTTAATTACTGGCTGATGTGATAGAAATCGTGAGATGGAAAAACAGATCATTGTAGTTTCCAAAGATCTTGTAAATTTTATTATATAGTGTCATGATCTACATAGAACAGGGCTAAAGACTTCGTTGCTTTGTGTGGCAACGAAGGATTCATGTAGTGGACCCCATATTTATTTATTGAGAATAAAGGCTCAGCTTCTTGTTGTTGTTGACTAGGCATTGCAATGATCAAGTGTCTGTCCTGATTACCTATTGTTGCTCAACTATTATATTCATCTTGTCATCTTATCCATTGATTTCAAGATGTTCGAATTTAACCCCATTGTAAAGTTCATGTACTAAGCAAAATGAGACAAACTTCACTGCTCTAAACCTTTCTGCATATAAATTTCAATGTTTAGCAGATTAGCAATAAACGAAATGAAATGGGAAAGAATTTTATGTAGCCTGTCCTGAATTTTTTGGGAAAAAGGCTTATTTTATTTTCATTTATACTTTTAATTATTTCATCTGCTTGCATTAGTCCTTCACGGCCAATCTGCTTATGAATGCAGCTAGTCAAAGATCTTATAGCATCTTTCGATGTTATCAGCTCCGTCGACAATCAGGGCAACACAGCATTGCACGTGGCTGCTCAGAGAGGCCAATTGGCAGTTGTTGAGGCTTTAATTCTTGCATCACCCTCGTCAATTAATTGTAAAAACAATGCTGGAGAAACATTTCTGCACGCGGTTGTAACTGGATTTCAAACTCCTGGTTTTCGGAGAATGGATCATCAAATTGAGCTCATGAAGCAATTAGTACATGGAAAGATCTTCAACATAGAAGAAATCATCAATTCCCAAAATAATGATTGTAGAACTGCTCTTCATCTGGCCATAATGGGAAACATACATTCTGATCTAGTGGAATTACTTATGACTGTTCGGGGAATCAATGTCAATATACGCGATAGAGATGGTACAACTCCACTTGATATTCTCAGACAACAGCCACGTTCTGCATCATCCGAAACTCTAACCCGACAATTGATTTCAGCCGGTGGGATCTTCAGTTGTCAGGACCTTTCAGCAAGGAAAGTTATTGCATCCCATGTAAAGAGGCAAAGTATAGGAAACAGTCCCGGCACGTCTTTCAGAATCTCGGACACGGAAATATTTTTGTACACAGGTGTTGGGGACGCATCAGACGGCAGTCGCAGTGCAGGAATGAGCACCTGCTCAAATGAACCAAATCAACACGAGTCGAGAATCAGGAACCAGAATACTGGAAAAATTAATAAGCCGGTATCCGTAAATTATGCTGGAGAACGGCTGAAACGCCTCCTCCATTGGCCAAAGATGAAAAGCAGAACTAAGGAGAGGCTCAAGAAATTGGTTGGAGTAACTTCTGTAAACATTTCAGATGAAGTTCCAATCCCTCTTCGGCAAAGATTCTCGAAGCCCTCATCACTTGTTAACAACAAACGAGCACTATCTGTCAGGAGTAACCAACCAAGCCCGGCAAAAAAGAAATTAGCCTCAGGGTTAATGCATGGTGTTATGCAGTCGATACCACATACTTCCATTCCTCGCAAATCACGTTCCAGTTCATTTTCAAAATTATCTCTATCTTCGCATAGTTCACTGGATGCACAAAGAGGTACTCAAATTGAGAATGAGATTGCAGGAATTTCCTGCTCTAATCAAATGAATGATCACGTGACAAACAATTCAGTTCCTAAAATAGGTTTGGTCAACAAAAGGTTGATGAACCAATACTTGTGCTTTGGTGCTTCCAGGCAACCCGTGGAGGCCCCTTCTATTGGAGCACAACCGTACGATGTATATGAACGGTCAGTTCTATCAATGGCTTGATTATCTAAGGCATGAAGGCTGGATCATGGAATGATTTTGTAAATATTTGAAGATAGCTTGGATCCATGAACCAGTAGGTTATTTATATCTTTTGATGATTATTCTCTTTAGAAATATGCTTTGCTAATGTAGCCTTGAGCTTAAATGCTTGTTGCTGTCTGAAAGTTTTCATACTATGTAGGCTATTATCCTTGAAAATTGTATAATTTCAAAGGATAAGAGTAGATGTCAGAAATCTAGTATCAGTGGTGTGGATCGTCTATCTGTATATGCTTTGACATCAGTGGAGTGTGTGTCTTGTATAACATGCTCAAGTTAGAGTTGAATTCAAAAGACGACATTAAAATACTTTTGGAGTGGGATTGACGAGTTTCAGTCTTGCCAATGAGGGTACTAGGGATAACGCTTCGTCTGTGTGGGCACGCGTGCTAGGACTTGTTATATCATGTATACAGTGCAAAAGACTGACTGGCGTGGTGAAATTGTTGCACTCCTTGATGGAGTATGATCCTTGCCGGTGTAAATCTCAGGTCGAGTCTAAGGGTTAGGTTTGCTTGGACTTGGCTGGGATTTTTCATAGCAGTCAGCTCAATTTGTTTGGTTGGGGGTGTAACCAAGTGTAAGGTGGATTGTGCTCGAGTATACATTTGATGGTCTCAACCAGGTGTTAATTGGGTTTGTCAAATTTGAAAGTGTTTAAAGGTACGTGGAACTAATAACTTATCAAAGTACTTAAAATAAAAATAATACCTATTTTCCTTAATTCAATCAGGCTGGATGAAAATGTTAATTTCATGATGAAATAATAGAGATGGACTTCAAAATGTGTTAAGGTGTACAATCATGGTTTTAGTAGAATTAATTTTTGAGATACGATATGTCCATGTTTAACAAAGCTTTTTGAGAATTGTGTGATTAAAAAATAAATAAAAATTGTGAATCTAATGAAATATCATATTAAAATGAAAGTGTAACAAACTTATAATTTTTTTAAAAAAAGGCTCTGTCAACTATGAGCTAAATCTCAATTCACCCATAGTTGATTTTTCAACTGGACAACTTTTCTAACTTCCTTTATTGAAGAGCGACACATTTTTTTCTTTTATGTTTTGTGTGGTGGCGTATCTGTCTTAACTTTTCTTGTCTTTGTTCTTCTTTCTTCGTAGAACGACTCAACAAATTTATATAGACCAATGGATCACGACAAAATGTGAGAAGATTGAGGGTGTTGTGAGATCACTTGAATTTACTTGAAACTAGATGATTATGTTATATTCCAACATTTTGTAGCAGAGCTGGAGTTTTGACTTTTGGAGACAAAAAAAATATTAAATGAATTGGACAAATTATGTAAATAGTACTAAAGGTTGGGGACTGAAAAGTCCGGTGTTAAAGATTGAGTGTGCATTTGCTCTAGAAATTCAAGGTTAAGACAATTTGTGTAAATATTTCACAAGAAAAAGGGGTGAAAATTTGGGGAATGAGTTGGAATGACCTTGCCTCAACAAATTTTTGTTCAAATGGCCTTTGACCA